TTTTGAAATCGTAATATTAAAGAATGCATAAACAAATACCGGCAGCTGACGATACATAAAAAATATATAAATTAAACAAATTAAATACAATCCAAAAATTAGCATGTAAGATATGACTTACAACAAGCTGAGCAGAATGGATTCGTGATATTTCGATTTTACAAATGAACGTGATGATTGTGATAAAATAACAATACACAATTCGTATAATGCACAAACTCATTTTCGTCTAGTTTTGACTCGTGTCTTGAGTTTTATGATGCTAACTTTTGATTGTACTCTGTTTTGTAAAGAATAATGCATGCCTCTGTTTTTGTGTTTCAATTTAAAACATTCTTCGGACTGTTTTGTCAACTAACATTCTCCTTTATTGGAATTTTATCCTTTAATTCAAAATGGTATTTGTTTCATTTTCCGTAACATGACTGCTTGATCAATTTCCATATTTCATTATTGACAGTAATCTTTCAAAATATTTATCAATGATTTGCTAATGAATTTGATGTGAATTGTGGAGTTTTGCAATAGGAACAATCGTCTCGAAGTTCGAAAGGACGCTCCATCCAGGCAGTCCTAGTTCTATAAGATCAGTGGTGCAAACAGATGTGAAGGAATAAGTTAGGCCTTGTCTTTCAAGCTGGGAGACCTGGGTACAATTCTTGGTCGGACCTCTACTCAAGGTCTTAAAATAGTTGAGAAGAAAGAGCTACCTTTACATTGACATCAGTAAATGGTTAGACTTTCGCGTCTTCTCGGATAAGGAACGACAGAACCCAACAGAACCCAAGTGACCTGTTGTAATAATGCTAAATCTGATCCTGCCTCTATCTCCATTGGTGTTGCCCAAGGATCAATCTTAGGTCCCCTTTTGTTTATCGTATACGTGAACGATTTGCCAAAATGCTTAAAGTTTTGTGATGTAACTCTTTATGCAGATGATACCGTTTTGTCGTTTGCATCATCTTCGACTGATGAAATTCAAAGGAAAATGAATTCCGATTTAAATTGCATCCATAATTGGCTTCTGGATAATCAACTTACTTTGAATGTCGAGAAGTCTAAGTTTATGCTGATTGGGAGTAGTCGACGACTTTCTAAAATTGATTCAATTACCATATCAATCAATGACTCGACACTTGCTAATGTTCAATCTTTTCTATACCTTGGCATTCTTGTAAACCGGTATTGTACATGGGGAGATCATGTGGACTATATTAGTTCCAAGATAAACAAGAAATTTGGTTTATTAAAACGTATCAAGTCTTGTTTACCATTAGATGCTAGAATAACGTTTGTTAAAAGTTTTATATTGCCACTTATAGACTATGGGGACATTTGCTGGGGGGACAGGGGAAATGAAACATTGATGAATGACTTACAAATTCTACATAATAAAGCTGCTAAGATAGTCTTAGATCAACCTATATATTTCTCTGCAACCGATGCTCTCAGTAAGCTTAAATGGAAATCCTTAAAACGTAGAAGAGCTGAGCATCGAGCCATATTTGCATATAAGGCCATCAATAATATGTTATCGCACCAATTTAGTTTTCAACTTAATTGTGATTTCCATAGATATAATACTAGATCTAAGAATAACATCAGGAAAACCAAGGCTTCGAGGAGGTGGGGTCACTGGACAACGGTAAACTTTGTTTCTGAAGTCTGGAATAGTCTGGATGATGATCTAAAAAGCTCCACCTCGATAACCTCATTTAAGAACCGCCTCGAAAAAACTGAATTGTAATGACTTGTTTGTTCTGTCTAGTTATTTTCATTTGTAATTTAATTATTTTTAGTATATGTTTACTTGTCCGAGGACCCCTCTGTAAACCACTACTTGTGAAGTTGGTATCCTCATTAAAAATTATGTTCAAGGACGTTACACCCGTTTTCAAAATTACGCGACCAAGGACGAAAATGCTAGAGTTGACATGTCAGTTTTATGTCATTCGGTCACGAAGTTTAAACTTTGAGTTTTGCGGTTCCTTGTCGATGTATATGCTTTGTATGCTTTATATAAACAGGCTTACAATGATTTTCAAGATATTTTAGTGAGAATTATTGCAAAATTTAAGCACAAACAAAATCATAACATATCGTTATAGTCTAGCGCGCGTGTTTTATACGGACAGCTAAATTCCAGGATAAATTGTTATTTTTCAAAGTCATTCAAAAGTCATTCACGGCACATATTTCTGTTGTAATTGTTTGTATAGTGCTTTAGTTTGTATATCTAAGTTATCTAGCTCATTTTTGTTCCGTTTTGGTATTAAATACGATTTAAAATGTCTTTTGCCAGTTTGTTTACGTTTGCTATTTTTAGCAGTTTTTGTGACATAAAACTGACATTTGAAGTAAGAGTATTTTTCAGGGAGGTCGCGTAATTTTGAAAATGGGTGTAAAATCGTAGGTCTTTGGATCCACTATCAATTAGGCAAAAGCTGTTGGAAAACCCGCCACCAATGAGCGAGAAACTCGATAAACTAAACAATAAACTAATCAAGTAACATCAATTAATATTGGACAGTCGCAAAAAGTACATGTTTATTACTTTGTATTTACAATGTTAATTTGACTTAAGTTCTGCGATGCTCGTAAACACTATCTGTTTCAAATGGGACTTTTCTACGTTTATTTGCGTATATCATAAGCAAAGTTAGTTATAGTTGTGTTGGTGTACTAAACGACAGTGTTGAACGTCTGGGCTTCAGAGATCCAAATAGTAGCTTCTTTCCTGTATTACGGAGTGTTTCATTTCGCCAAAAAAATATGACGCAATTCCATGTGGAGTTCATGCCCATGCTCGTGCTACCCCACAAGCGAAGCAACATCAAGGAATCTTCACTGAGCTTGTCAGTTGAGGTGGCCCTTAATACGACGTACACGGTAAGTGGAGTTAAACAGACGAAGAAACAGACAACGGCCAACACGCAGGTGCAGCCCTTCTTCAAAACTGCCAACTGCGTCCTAGATACTTTTTCGTTGCGTTTTGCTCTGACAGCGATTCGGAAAACTCTGTAATTCATGACAAACAAGAGAATTATTTCGATTCCCATGGTCAGAGAAGCCCCGCCGTAGTAGATCGCCCTGAAACCTTTGAAGAATCGAAATGTCAATGCAACAATGTACAGCAACTGCATCATAACTGAAAGTACCAAAAGCCGTCGTTTCGTCACATGGATTTTGTGATAGAATGGTCGGGTTATTGCGAGGTAGCGATCGAGGGTCATCGCCAGAAGTGTGGATAAACTGAAAGCTTGAGTGTAATGGGAGGCGAGTATTGCCACTTCTGTGAGGCTGTATCCATCGTTTTGTGATCTGGTGGACCAGTGTGCTGAACTGTTGTCTCTGGTTGACCAAGGCACGGCGGTTAAAATGACTGCAGGATGTCCAACTACGATTGCAAGCAGATCAAGCGAGGAAAGAACTAGAATCATAAAGTTACCAGTTCCTTTGCGAAGTTTCGCAGACTTCCACAGACAGATAATCACCACTGAATTGAGAAATATCCCCGCGAATGTGAAGAAACCGTTTACACTGCATAGTAATATCAAATTGACCAACCTGTACAACTCCATGTCGTATTTTGACAGGTTTAATACAGTTTACAGTTGAGAATGGTCGCACGAAGTGTACCTGGCAAGGCAGTTTGCCAAAGTGATACGCCAGGCTTCGCCTCTCTCAATTTATCCTCTTGAATAACTTCCCATTATTTTTTTTTTAAATCCATTAGCAGCAACTGCAAAACAGCGCACGCATCTGAAAGATTAGATTTAAACCATTGATCTACTGGATAGCACATCTGCAAAGCGAAAATGATATCATGCAATGGCGCCAATATTGATGTGACGAGCAGAAATCTACTGTGCTGTTGCTGATATGTTAGAAGGGGTTATAACGGATGTTAGAATGGGTATAACAGATGTTAGTAAGGGCTATATAACAGTTGCGGGTTATTGGATTCAGGTCTTGGAAATTGCTCATTATAGCGGAGTTAATTTGCCAGTGACCAATAATTAGGAGGTCACACAATATGGTCACAGAGTACTTACAAAATACAGAGATCTCACTTCTGCTGGAAAACCGTAAGGTAGTTTTTACCAAAATAGCTGGTGGCCATGTTCTTAGCAAGTGCCCTAATGAGAGGCATTCACCCCCCTGGAACATTAAATTTCAATGTGTTCTCAGGGGGGTGACGGCCTCTCTTTAGGGCGCTTGCTAAGACCATGGGGGACTGAAAAAATCCCTTGAGGCGGTTTTCCACTAGGCGAAATTTTTCGATCGAACCGAAATTTCTATTGTTCAAATTCAAAAGATTTCTGTTTAGTTTCATCTGAGTGCTTGTAAGACAAAAGAAAATTTCGATTCGGTCGAAAAATTTCGCCTAGTAGAAAATCTGAAGTGAGACCTCTGTATGTAAGTATTTTGTGATATGGTCAGGGTCACACTAAAAAACCTCGATCTGATATTTCACAGTACAGACCTCACGCTCGGTCAATAAGCCGTTATAATCAACTTCTGCTATTTTGAAATTCTAATGCATAAAACCAATACCAGCAGCTGACGATATGGAAAAAAGTAAATTAAACAAATTATATACAATCCAAAAATTGATATGTACGATATGAATTGCAACAAGCTGACCAGAATGGAATCGTGCTATTACAATTTTACAACTGATAGTATATGATGATGATTTTGTAATAAATTATTAATACACAAACTCATTCTCGTCTAGTTTTGACTCGTATCTTGAGTTTTATGATGCTAACTTCTGATTGTACTCTGTTTTGTAAAGAATAATGCTTGCCTCTGTTTTTGTGTTTCAGTTTAAAACCTTCTTACTCTTTTCTGAACTAACATTCTCCTTGATTAGAATTTTGTCCGTTTCGTTTTGAAGACCGTAACATGACTGTTGATCGATTTCCATATTTCATTATTGGCTGTAATCTTTCAAAATACTTATCAATGATTTGCTAATGAATTTGATGTGAATT